ATTAATTGTACAAAAGAGTTGGCTTTTTTAGAGATTTTTACAATATGGCTTTCCCATTTTAAGTCGGATGTGACTGTCACTCCAAGGTCGTTTTGCTCTGTTACTGTTGACAGTACTGTATTGTTTAAAATATATTCCTTGTTGGAATTGTTTGGACCAATTCTGAGCACTGTACAGGGCGATCCAGTATAAAGTGAACCTTTTCGGTAGAAAAAATATTTTTGAAAAAATCAAGATAGCCATTTCGTGTATTTTTTTTTCTAAGAATTTGAAAATGTTTTTCGAAATTCAATTAAATTTTTCGTTGAAGCGCTGTGACCAAAAAAGTATTTTTTTTAAATGGAATAACCTATATTTAAATCAATTATTTATACGCCCCTATTTTTCTCATTTCAAATATATAGTTAATTTATCTTTATTTTAGTAATTTGCCATATATTCCCACTTTAAAATTCAAACAAAAATAGCCAAAAAGGTATCATAAAATATAATAGGTAACCAGTTTTATTAAAGGTAAAATTATTTAGATTTACCTTGATATATTTCGGCTATTTTTATTTGAACCTTGAGTGAGAATATATCGCAAATTACTAAGATAAAGATAAACAAACTATATATATTTGAAATGAGAAAAATAGGGTCGTTCAAAAAATGGATTTAAATATAGGTTATTCCATTTAAAAATAGTATATTATGCAATGATCATGTAATGATAGCCATTAATACACGAGCATGTTGTAGGATACGAAACGAGCCGCAGGCGAGTTTCGTATATAACATGCGAGTGTATTAATGGCCATTACATGAGAGTTGCATACACTATTTTTTCTACTGCCATTGATAAAACTTATGATATTTAGATAGGTATGTCAACATTATGCTTAACTTTGAATAGAGATTTCATAATTGAGTAATCCATACAGTTGAAGGTTTCATTTTTTGTTGTAATTCTTCAAAATATACTATCAAAACATTTTCTGAGAAGGATGATGTGTTTTTGGTGTTTCCAATCCATAAATTGTCCATATAATTTTTCGTAAATTTTCTTGGACTTGTCCGGTAGTATATTATTACCTGCATTTGTCGCCCTTTATGTAATTTCTGGAGGTGCTAGTGAAAATTCTTCGTTATTGCTCAATATTTCCATAATAATGCCTTCTCCCAAACTTAAGGTATTAACATTTAATAACAATTTGAGGTATTTTTGTTTATAAAATTATTGTTTTTCGCTAAATTACCATGGAAAAGCTATAAACAGAGTGCTGCCAACATTCAAAAAAAAATAATTCAAATTTTTTTAACTGATGGCGCCATCTATTGACATTGTAAAATAATGAAAAAAGTAAAAATTCTTCCTTATCATTCATTATTTCCATAATAATTATTCTTTGTCCCAAACTTTAGGTAACTTTTAAACAATTCGCAGTCTTTCTTATAGTTATCAAAATAATTGTTTTATGCAAAATTACCGTTTAAAATGTTTCATATCTTAACTAGTGCTGACATCTATCAACATTGTATAATATTAAAAATGAGTATTATAATGAAAATCTGTATCGTAATGAAGTTCATTATGATACAGATTTTAATCGTTTAATAGCGTATTATGAAATGTCAGTAGAAAATAGTATATTATGCAATGATCATGTAATGATAGCCATTAATACACGAGCATGTTGTAGGATACGAAACGAGCCGCAGGCGAGTTTCGTATATAACATGCGAGTGTATTAATGGCCATTACATGAGAGTTGCATACACTATTTTTTCTACTGCCATTGATAAAACTTGATATGATGATATTTAGATATGTCAACATTACGCTTAACTTTGAATAGAGATGTTATAATTGAGTAATCCATACAGTTGAAGGTTTCATTTTTTGTTGTAATTCTTCAAAATATACTATCAAAACATTTTCTGAGAAGGACGATGTGTTTTTGGTGTTTCCAATCCATAAATTCTCCATATAATTTTTCGCAAATTTTCTTGGACTTGTCCGGTAGTATATTATTACCTGCATTTGCCGCCCTTTCTGTAATTTCTGGAGGTGTTAGTGAAAATTCTTCGTTATCACTCAATATTTCCATAATAATACCTTATCCCGAACATTAGGTAACTTTTAATAACAATTAGAAGTATTTTTTTCATGAAATTATTGTTTTTCGCTAAATTACCATGGAAAAGCCATAAACAGTGTGCTGTCATCATTCAAAAAAAAAAAAATCAAAATTTCTTAACTGGTGGCGCCATCTATTGACAATGTATAATAATGACAAAAGTAAAAATTCTTCCTTATCACTCATTATTTCCATAATAATTATTCTTTGTCCCAAACTTTAGGTAACTTTTAAACAATTCGAAGTATTTTTTATAGTTATCAAAATAATTGTTTTACGCAAAATTACCGTTAAAAATGTTTTATATCTTAACTAGTGCTGCCATCTATCAACATTGTATAATATTAAAAATGAGTATTATAATGAAAATCTGTATCGTAATGAAGTTCATTATAATACAGATTTTAATCGTTTAATAGCGTATTATGAAATGTCAGTAGAAAAAATTACTTTTTTGATCACAGCACTTCAACGAAAAATCTAATTAAATTTCCAAAAACATTTTCAAATTCCTAGAAAAAAAATACAACAAATGGCTATCTTGATTTTTTCAAAAAAAAATTTTTTAGCGAAAAGGTAGGGGGTGTTCACTTTATACTGGATCACCCTGTACATTTGGAGTAATTCAGCTTCATTCCCCACACATTTGCCCACCTCTCAACTCTCCTTAAATCCTCTTGCAATACTGCTGCGCTCAGATTCAGGTTGGCGTAAAGTTTGGCATCATCAGCAAAATTTTTCACGTTTGTTTCAACTAGATTCACAAAATCAAACAAGTAGGCTGTAAATAACAGTGCACCCAGCACAGAAACCTGGACAACTCCGCTGCTAACCAGGTGATTGTTCGACATTGCTCCGTTTACTCGTACTTGGTAGTACCTTTCACTAAGTAAATCTTTGATCAATCCTAATAATGGCCCTCGCACTCCAAAGTGCTCCAACTTCGCAAGCAACAACTTATGTGGCACCTTGTCAAAGGCCTTCTTGTAATCCAGATAAATGACATCTGTAGGATGAGAGTTGTCATGGTTTTTAATCCAATTATTCAAACATTCAAGTAGATAGATAGATAGATAATGTGCTTTATTGTCATAAAAAACTATACAATTTGTTTTGTGGACAAAGCGAATAACCTAAAACTAGTCACATACAAAATAAGGCTTGCTTATACTAAAATACATATCCTACACAAAAAACATGGTTAAGATAGTCTAAAACTTAAAACAATTTAAAATTTACATAAAATTAACACTTTAAAAAACTTAAGATATCACAGATTAGTTGAAAAACGGGCAGTTCTTGTATGCATGTTTTATACTTTTTTTTAATTTTTTTATTAAGTGTAGAGTTGAATGTCATGTAACCAACCAAGCTAATTGTGTCAAAATCTGTCTTGATAAAACTCTTCCAGACTATAATAGCCCCTATCAACAAGTAAAACTGTAACCATTCTTTTAAACATTTTTAGATTCAGGGACATCTTAATTTTTTGAGGCAGATGGTTAAACATTTTTATGCCATTGTAGCAGATTGACTTATGAACCAGAGTAGATTTCGGAATCGGAAGTTGCAAATCTCTCTGCTGAATAGATCTTGTGTTGTATCCACCCGACAGACGAAGAAAATCATTTTGATGCACATATATAAGAGAAACAGATTCCAGAATATACAAAGATATGACCGTTAGAATCTTTTTAGACACAAACAAAGGCCTGCATGACTCCCTAAATTTGGCATGACACAAATACCGTATTGCCCGCTTTTGCAAAGTAAAAATTATTTGAAGTAGTTGGTTGTTCGTAGAACCTCAGAAGGCAATACCATAACGTAGGTGCGACTCTATCAAAGCATGATAAACCGTCTTTCCAAAAGCGAATCCGAGTTCGTTAACTGTTGTTTTCACTGCATAACAACCAGACGCAATTTTTTTACTCAATATACTAATATGATCCTCAAATTTCAAGCCAGAGTCGATTGTCAAGCCCAAGAATTTGCTGTGATTACGCTCTGTCAGAGAATCACCCCCACCCTAAGGTCATCTATACTGCATCTAAAACAAACTATATTAGTTTTATCGACGTTTAAAGTTAACAGATTTGAATCAAACAACTCTTTAAGAAGATCCAAATCCCCTGAAATCATGGTTCTTAAAGTGTGAACATCACTACAAGACCACAGAATCGTAGTGTCATCAGCGAAAATGGTGAACTTTCCTTGTATATTGAGCCTGGCAAGATCATTAAAAAATATCAGAAAAAAGAGAGGACCCAAGTAGGTTAGTTGCAGTGGAGCGCTTCGGCAGAAATCCATGCTGGGATGCTGGTATCAGATTGTTTTCGAAGAAGAATGTTGTAAGCTTTTTGACTGGTATTTTTTCCATACACTTAAGTGGATTGCATGTAAGACTGATGGGCCTGTAGTTTTCTGGCTTTTGTCTGTTACCTTGTTTGAATAGCGGCGTAACTATTGACAATTTCCATCGTTCTGGAATTCTCTCTGCTGTTGAGCACTCCTGCATAACCTCTGCAAGTCTGCAAGAGATATGTTGAAAATATTTGATATTCCAATAGTTCTTCTTATTATGTTTCAATGTTTAATCCCTAATAATTTCAAGGTTATCTGCTTAACTTAAAAAGTTTGTCACGAGTGATACATATCACCAGCCATGACCAGAATCAATACAAACTCATAGGATCATTTATTAGCAGTTGGTGCTACGATAACACTTGTGTTTTTCGTAGATACTATTGGTTTTATTGTTACTATTTTTTCCAAAATTACATTTATCAAAAACTACTGAAAATTGATAACATAGTACAATAAAAACCCATTCGGACATATCAACTAATTGTTCCAGCCAGGCAGTCGATAATAGTCGATATGCTCACTCCAGTCCAACTGTGAATCCACCTCTACTCCCAAAAAACTGGTGAATTTTGGTGTTCAAGGCTGGGCCACCACCACAAACAAACCAGACCAATCCCGATATGAAAAGCGTAGCAATTGCATCTGCTTGACAGTCAAAACCAGGTTTTTTGAGTCAAGGTCATTGGTGTAGATAATGTACAGCAGTGTTCCAAGGAATGATCCCTGAGGTACACCTTTTTTGACCTGGCTAGAAATTGATGTTAATGTTTCCCCATTGTGTCTCTCAATAATTTGCTGCTTTCTACTGAATAGATGAAATTATATTAGTTGTAACGGAACGTCTCTCAGATTTTAACAAATTTGTGGTCCACTGGAATGGAATAGAGTTTATTTCTGTTTTATTTTTGTCTATGGATAGATAAATACAACATAATATTGTTTTTAATTTTATTTGTGTACATTTCAGATGCCAAACAGAATCAGGTCACTGTGTAGGTTGTAACATACGACAGCCAGAGCCCTACACAACTTACAACAGTAACAGTCAGTACGATCAAAGCCTCAGTTCCGATCACAGCGGGACTGCCACCACTTTGTACGGTTATGGTACCGACTATGCCTATGACAACCCGAGCAGTATTAGCAGCCATAGCGGTGCGAGAACGCCTCAGCGGTTACCTATTCAGAGCCATAGGCGGACACCTTCAAATGTTTCCAATGCAAGTTCTACTACTACGAGTGGGTCGAATATTAATCCTAGTTTTAGGTAAGAATTTTGATTATCTGGATTTTTTTACATTTATTAATATTTTTATTTATTTATTATGATCAGGTTAGAAGAGGAATATACTCCAACCCATTATCTGCCAAGAAGACCGCAATACGAATATGATTATAATTTGTACACTAGAACAAATTCGCAGGATTCTAACAATTTTGAAAGACCAAATACATTAGAAACGGTAACATACTTTATTCTCACTTTTTCCAAAAATAATTCGGTAATACATTTATTTAATTCAGGTTGGTCATACAAAACTTAGATCTAGTCTAAAAAGGAACAATTTCACTTCTACAGCCGGAGGACATTCCGGTGGAAATACTCCAACCAATCCCACTCCGCCTGATAGTTTGACCAGTGATGATAGTTCGTATATTTCAGCCAAGGAAAGTAATAATGGTTCAGTATCCAGGGTCAGGTTTTCGCCCACTACCCTCATAGATTTACCAGTGCCTGGACAAAATTTGGATACAACCATACCTCTTCAGGCTCGTAGAAATCGGCCGCGGCCGTCTTTGGCCGAAATGGAGAGAGAATTTTTGTCATAATATTTGAAATTTTTACATTGTACATTACGGTACAACTTTGGCCTAATTAAATATAACAATTATTGGAAAATTATTATACCAGATCAACTGGTTTATAAATATTTCTAGTCTGATTTCATTGTGAATACGGAAGTGTGTACTTCATACAATCTGAATTGAAATAGAAGTACAATAATTGCAATATATAATTGTGATTAATATGCGGAACTTTCGAAAATAGGATTAATTAAGCAAGAAATTAACCTGATAATATGTAGATTCTTTCCAGCTTTAATACTAATTGAGTCAAACAATTTTCTGAAAATTTGTACACCAACAGACTGTTTGATGCATTGGTTTAAAAAAGTGTGGCTCCTATAAATGACGCACCCTCTCTATATTTTTCCTCCATTCAATGCAATGTTGTAGCATCCAATAATACAATTGCAACTTACCTCAGTGTGAAGTACTACCTACTAGTAAAACCTCAAGTTCGAAAATGTTCCGAGATTGTATAAAGTATACATTTTTGTAGGTTATTGGCGGCTTTTATTATAAACAAATGGGCTTTGAAAAGCTGATATATTTATCGATTATGAACTAGTCCTTTTTGCAACTAAAAAAAAAGAATTTATCTAAGAATGTGTCATATTTGCAATATTGTTTTTTTCTGGCAGAAAAAAATTGGGATCAATAGTAGGTGAGTGACTTACTTGACTTTAGGTCCACTGACTAATCGATTGTGTTAAGACAAATATTCGTATGTTAGTTGCATCATTCTACGAATAATTTTATTGCAGTGAGTGATGAAGATATTGTATTCATATTATGTGCCTATACTCTTTGATAAAGGAACATATACATACAATTGTTATTTATTAAGACTGCTTCTGGGACTCATAAAAGAAATGCGGAAAATCCAAGCATCCAAATTCTTGAAGTAACTTACTCAATATGGGGAATGATAGAATCCCAATCATGAAATATTGAAATACCAATTTAGGAATGCAATCAAAATGACAGGAATGTACTACCCAAATACTATACTATATGGAGCACTCTTGTAGATGCAAGTTGTTCGTATCTATACAATGTCGAAACATTTTAAACATACACTACAAATAAGGCAAATCACATTATAAAAAAAAAACTTGATATATGACACCTATTTTGTAAGTTTGCGAAATTGCAACACTGTTAATACGATTTTAATGCAGGTTATACATAAGACACAACATTAATTATCAGATTTGTTTTAACATAATCGATTATTCAGTTGGTTACTCGATAAGACATTTTTAGTCGATAAGTCATTCATCTGTAGGCGACACGGGATCAAATGAAATACATTTTAGTAATTTTGTCTTAAGTAATAACATTTGAAGCTATGTTGCTGATTATCGAGGTAATCTTATCGACATAACAATAATTGGAAATACAGTCTAGTCATTTTTTTAATCAAAAAAACTTTTTTAGTGTAAAGTTTGAATATTGGACTTTTGCCTTAGCTGAATTTTTGATTTCAAAGCTAAGATTGCATTTTTTTGAATAGTGCTCAAAATATTTATATTGTTAGCTAAATAATTTTGTACATAGAGAGCAGGGTCTGCTTTAAAAAAAAAAAAACGTTTAAATACAATCCATAGTGCCTGAGTCTGAAAAAAAATTAATTAATATGAAACATATAATGTATAAGAATTTGAGAAATTCCCCAAAAAAAATTAAGAATTATCCTTGATCACTTATTAATGAAAGTTTTAGAGCTAACATATTGTAATAGATATTTTTTTGTGCAATTTTATTTGTTTGTCATCTATTGTATAGAGTTTTAAGACTTTTTAGTGGTGAGGGTGAATTCACCTTTGTTTTTAGAACTAAATTATTGAATTTATTTTAAGCCAAGACTGTTACATTCATTCCATTATAATGCATTTTTTTACCCCTTTTTAAGTGGAGAAACGACCAATTTTTTCATTATATCGTTTGTAGTTTAAATAACATGCAACTGCAAACATAAAGTTGCAATTAAAATGTAAATAATGATGTTGGTATTATGGGTACTTTTTTTTTATTGGAAAGGTTATAGATGCAAATGCTTTTTGCAGTACATTGTCAAGATCAATCCCGAATATTATAAGGAAATTGCGAAAAATGTTTACACCTTAGAAAACACTCTTTACTATACACAAATTTATAATAGATTTAAGATTATGACAAAGGAAAGTAATATTATGAATATATACATACTGTATATAGATTTTTTATAATAAATTATTTAAAATCTGTTAGTTTATAATAGAATATAAGGATTTTAATTACTGAGCGGCTAGTATAATAACAAGGGTTTGGATTTGAACAGTACGATTAAGTTTTCTGTATAAAAAAAAACAAACATTCAGGCTGCTTTATGAGCACAAGTTTTTCGTTTCATGTCTTCATCCAATATCAGGTTAAACCAACAGAATATTTTAAAAACCACATTTTCAAAATATGTAGTCCTGATTTTAACTCTAGAAAATGTACTAAGTTGCTGTTGCTACTACTGCCTCATAATACATTTGCTGATGTTACTTGTAATTCGCTTTTATCCACCAATACCTTTCTCAAACGTAAATCGATCTCACAGAAGACGAAGCATCTTCAAACCAATATCAATATAATAGACTATAAATTGTTCCAAACCCTTATTTATTACACTTCAAGCTCTATTTCTACAGATGCCACAAATTTGTGGAATTGTTTTTGTATAATAAGAATTAAAATCTCTTCACTAGTCTGTGGTTTCTATAAAAATAGACCTAAAGTTGAACGGTTGGCGTGGCCATCTAGGTATTAATTATTAATAAATGAAAATTAATTTTTTTCTGTTTTAATAATTCAAGATGCAATACTTATTTGTAATATTTGGTAATGACGGCTTGAAATTAATTTTTATTTAATTTATTAATGGTATATTAAACATTCCAGAAACTGTAAGAAAAAAAAATTAATACTCCTTTTACTGTGTGAATATGCAACGTAGCAAAGTTTTAAATAAAATACATTTTATTTATAACAGGAATGAGATTTATTTCGATCAAAATTGAAGGCAATTGTAGGTCCGCTTTACCATCTCATTACAATAGTTATCAGAGAGAAATGATAAACCTGGCACCTTTTGTGTGTAACTTCCTCATCCCTCTGAACAAAAAGATGTTAGTCTTAGGACACAATCTCTTTGGGTCTCTTGTACATGGTGTTTTCAATTTTCCAATAAAAAAAGATCCACCTCTCATTGGAAGCTGTACTAAATTTATTCCAAAAAGGTTTTGATATCAGAAAAGTATGTGTGGAAAACAAAAAGGATACATTAAAATCTACCAAAAATCTAGATCCATTGCTGAAATCTGAAAAACTGAAAAACTAGCCTGTTCAAACCAGCCTAACAGAGATAACTTGCCTAGCGCATCGCCTATATTTCGACGGCTTTGGCTTCTGAAGTAAAAGAGCAGCTGGAATCATTTCAAATTGCTTCTGAAGATCTAAGTATGAAGTAGGTACTACCAGGCGGAATATTATGTCTAAAGGTAGACTTTGAGAAAGTTGAAAATGTGAGCAAACCTGGGGCAAACTCGGACCCGTTAGAATTTAAACACATGAATAAATTTAACACCATCGAGTATTAACTGTATATACAGAATGCCAAAGTGCAGTAGTAGAATCATTTTAAATGAAAAAAGCAATATAAGTGAGAATTAAAAAAGCCAATCAGTAATCATTGGAGATGACAAGTGGCTTAGTACCAATAATCATGGTGAATTTTCACCTTTTGGGCATATAATGGACCATTGTGATATCAGCCGCATACACCACCCGCGGAACTGCAGTAGCTAGCGTACTATAGGGGGAAAAATATGCCACTCCTAGTGGTATGCGACGCTAAGGCACACCACACATTTATAACAAGGGTAAGGGAGGAACTAGACATACATTTGGTACCATAAGAAAAATTCAAAGTCTTCCTCTCATGGAATTATATTTTCACCTCCACTTTGAGAAATGGACTACTTCAATTTATACATTTGATAGTTCTGAAATAACAAACTACGTGAAAAACTAGAGGGTCTCGGCTGAACCCTTCCCTGTCTTACCCATCTGCAAGGATTTTGCTCCAAACTCCTGCAAAAATGAAAAAAAAAAATCCTGATGTTCCCCGAAAACACTCCACACAATTCACGGTTTGATACCCTGGCAAGTTTTTTTTCCCGCAACATAAAGTAAGGATATTCCTCTGTAGTTTCCACATTGAGTCTTGTCTCCCCCTTTACAAGTGGTAACTATGGATGAGGCATCTTTAAGTTCGGGAAGTAGGTATGGGGCAGTGTAAATCAAATTGTAGTATGAACTTAAACTACCTTTTTTGTAGCAAAAGCTAACATTTTTGTGAATAATAATAAGCCTTAGCTCAAACTAAGTTTATTCTGTTTGCTTTAAGTATGTTCTGTTTTTTCGTAGTAAAAGCTAATTTAGATGTGAATAATATAGAGCATTTACTACAATTTTCAATTAATAACTTCGAATTTTTCAAGCCAGCTAATGTGCAGCTTAAAAATTAAGTCTTGTGTAGAACTTCAGTTGAACACGTTTAAAAATGGCTCAATTCATGAACATCAGACGTCGAAAATATTATTCTCAACGAACTGAGTGTCGGGATGAGGACTATCATAATTTATATCGATTTGCTAGAATTAATGTTGAGTGGTTAGCAGAACATTTCCTTGAAGAAACTGGAGGAACAAGGGGAGGAGCATTAAATTCCAGACAAAATAATGCAGATATTTCTTCGATTTCTAAGCGATCCTGGATTCCAAATTGGAGTTGGAAAGGATGAAGGCGTTCATCGAACAACAGTGAGTAAAACTGTGAAATTTGTTTTGACTAAAATAATTCAAAAATCACATATTTGGTTACGTTTTGCTTCAAATAACATTGAAGAAGCACAACAAGAGTAGAGTGCTGAGTATCAGTTTCCTTGTGCATTTGGTGCTATAGATTGCACACATATAAGAATTCCGAAACCATCTGAGCATGGATACGAATACTATAACAGAAAAAGTTACTTTAGCATAAATCTACAGGCAACATGTAATGCAAAAGAAGAATTCACTTCCATAGACGCTCAGTGGCCTGGGTCAGTACACGACAGTAGAATACTAAAGAATTCTGCACTTTATGTCCAAATGAATAATATCCGGCATAATAATATGGTGCTATTAGGTGATTCTTGTTATGGATTCAGTCGTTGGCTGATGACGCCATACAGAAATCCCGAAACTCGTGAAGAAATTGTGTTTAACACGCTCTTCACGAAAGAAAGAGTCATCATCGAAAGGTGCGCTGGCCAACTGACTGAAGAGAAGGTTTCCAATATTGCAATATATGGTTAGGGTGAAACTAAATAGATAGAGTTGCATCTGTTAATATTGGTTGTGCTATACTTCATAATATATCAAAGTATTTGAATGATCCACTTCCTGTCGAAGAAGAAGAACATGTTATGAATGACGAAGAAGAAGAAGAATACAATTTGGAAAATGACGATGAAAATGTTAGGAGAAGGGGATTCCAACGGAGAGAAGAAATCAAAAATTTAATTTACCAACTAAAAATTTAATTATATAAATTGTTATAATTATAAAATCAAAATTATGATATTCAAAAACTGTTGAAACAAATAAAAATATACAGGGTGTGTAACTTAAAAAATAAATTATGTTTCATAATTTATAACATTTTATATATTTTATCTAAAGCTAAACTGTACGTTGAAGTTTCGGAATCATGGCTTCCAGGACCTTGGCTTTCAGGATCTTGGCTTTCGGGAACTTGGGTTCCGGATAGACTTTGACGTAGCTTGTTCAATAAAAGTTGTTCTCGCTCGATCTGCATGCGCGTAAGTTTTAATTGCTCAAGAAGAACCAATCTTTGTAGATCTGCTGTGCATAGGTTTGCAGTCTCATCTGTTTCTTTCCCTTCCAGCTTATTTTTTTTGTTTTGGTTTTGATGGATATTAGAGGAAGGAGAAGGTCTGACTAAAACGTGCCTTGTTTCCGCTGGTTTTTGCATTTCTATATTTTCCAATGGCTTCAATCCCGTTATCGCCGCTCCAGGAATTTTATGCAATGTTGGGTTTTTGTCATCTTTATCAATAATGTCCAGCAATTTTTTTTCCCATTCTTTCAAAATAATTTTTTCATTTCCAGTTGCTTTCATATCTGTTTACTTCTTCAATTCGTTTTTCATATTTTGAATCTTTTTTTTCAACTGTTTCACAGTAATACCGTTGTAATACTTTTGCCATAAATTGTTTAATATGATTCCTGCATTTTAATTGAGGAATTTTCCATGTTTTTTCTTATTAATGGTAACTGCGATTTATCAAATAATACTTTGTGATTAGATAAAGCCTCTATAAAGCGCAAATTGCCACTTTGTTCTTCACCGACTTCGGAGTCGAGATTCACTGTCGTACTCGGAATTCATTTTCAACAATTTCACAAACGTGTGCCTGCTAATGGTTGTAGGTAATAACTGAATAAACTGAAAAATCTCTTGACAAAAATATTGAATACGGCCGCTTTTTACAAAGTTTTTTTGGAAATATTTCAATAAAATAGTTATTTTTGTATCTAGGGCGCGAAATGCTACTTTGGTGATCGAGAACTGATTTTTTTAACGAGGCGCAGCCGAGTTAAAAAAATAGTCGAGATCACCAGAGTATTTCGCGCATGAGTTGCAAACAATATTTTTTCTACAACTCGATTCAAATATCGATGATTCGAAGCTAAAATTGCATTAACAATCAAAGGCAGGTGAATTTTAATTATTTTTGGTTTCCTGTCAGGTGCCAGGTATTTGTTACCTGAGTGTGCCAACTAAGCATTTCGCACACTGGAAAATAATTTCGCACACGGCGTCATGGAAACGTTAAAAAAAATCTACCTGGAAAAAAAAGTGTCACTTCGCAAATTGTCGCCAGTGTGCGAACATCATCTTTTTTGACAGTTGTAGAAAATAGCTATTTTCCTAACGAGTGCGGGAAGAAAAATTTCCGGCACGAGGGTGCGAAGCGCCCAAGTGCCGTAAATTTCTTCCCGCAAGAGGAACTATATTTTTTCTACGAGCATACTAAAGCTGATGTTACGAAGAGTTTAATTTAAATAAAATGCGATTATACAGAAGGTAGAATTAAATGTATTAAAAGGCATTTATAAAAAGGTAAAGGTACAGGTATAGGTGTATCAACAATACAAACAATTCCATGTCACAATGATTATTTCAAACTCTTCTCGCACTGAGTGCGGGAAGAAATCTCTTCCCGCACCGGTGCGGGAAGGTCTTCCCGCACAGCAAATCGTGCGGGAAGAGCCATTTCCCGCACGCTCGTCGAAAAAATAATTTATTCACTGAAGATGTTAAAAAAAAAGAAAACAAATGGATAAGAAAACCAGGATGTGTTTACTATTGTTAGTTCAAACCAATGAACTATAACCAAAAACTGGAATGCTAACACATAAGGACGAACATGAAGCCTAGTGCGGCTGCTGCGGAGGGGATACCTGTTTTTGTCGCACTCATTATGTTAAATGGCGAAAATTGCTTCCAACACGTATTCCAATTGATGAAACCTGTGAAGGGAAATATGACAAAACTTTCAAAAACGTCATACCTATGTCAGCGAGCAACAGAAAAAAACAACATTCCCTCTTGTGGCATCTGTCTTTCATGGCTTCATTTTTTTGGCAGATATGGCAATGTGTGCGCATTCCAGTTTTTAGCTATAGTTCATTGGTTCAAACTTAAATTTTTTAGTATAAACTTATTAGTATAAGCAAAATATTATTCACAAATTTTTCAGAATGTACTTAAACTTATAGCTGAATCTAATAAGATTGTACTTATGCTGTAACTCAATTCTTTAAGTAAACACTTATTTTTTATTCACACTGCCAATTGTCTCAGTAATCCATATTTTACTTATTAGGATATGGGTTTGGGACCCTAGTGTGGGGCCTTTTTGTTTAAAGAATTCAGCAGAAATGCTGTCAGGTCCGTTAGTACCAGCTGACTTATTGTTTTCTAGATGTCTAATTGCCTTTTCAACGTCCCCTAATCTAGGAACCTCGCTCAGTTCTTGTTGTATTGGTACATACACCTACTGTAATAATTTTGGAGAGCTCACTGATCAACTTGAAAAGAAAGACTACCTATATCTAATGGAATTCTTCTATTTGAGTGGGAAGGTCCACAGTCATCCGGAGACTACCAAGAAGAAGACATCTTTACAAAATTAATACAAAACAATAAACATTAAACACATCTTTATTTCATCAATTTCACAAATAATTACAGTGATGAGACGTTTAGAATTATGTCAGACATAAATACACCATCACAAGTTCAACAGAATTAAAGTAATAGAAAAATTACAAAAACTATTGCATTAAAGTTAGGATAATACTAAATATTAAAGGAAAAGAACATTGTGTCGTGATACATTCCTGAATTAACCAAACATAATAAATACTGTTAAAATCCTTCTGAATGTGACTAAAACACAAAATTCTCAAGAGTGCTTATGTTGTACCCTGTAGTGAGTAATTAAGGCATCCATTTTAATCACTCCAGATCTAAAAAAATTGTCATATTTCTAATATAATATTAACGCTTGCCATAGACCCTTGTTTCTACAAGTAAGTCTCAGTTCCTTTCTTTATCCTAAATCTAGTGAAAACATGGTAAAAATTAGTTTTACTTTTTCCCGACCTTTTTTTTTGTCTGTTCAATGGCAAAGGGAATCTCAATTAGTTTTGGTGATGTTTTAGAAGAAAAAATTGAGAACATAACAATAAACCATAGTTTATCATTGGAATGTTGAAAGTAACATCTTTTTAGTCATGAATGCTTGAAATATGTAGATATATAATTTACTTAGAATTTTTATGTACAAAATACATATTTAAAATTACTTTAAAAAAAAAATACTGTAAAATTATATACAATATATACAGGGCATTTTTACGCCTAATTTCAGCCTTTTGGTTATATTTAATAAAAAATATTCCTATCTTAACCTAAACTTTCTTCTTGTGAAAAAAAATTAGACAAAAATAAATAATACAGAATATTTAGATCTCGTCTAATTTGGGGGGCTGATAGAGTAAATAGGCCTTTAGGGAAGTTTCAATTTGCCTTGCCAAAAAAAGGGCCTATTGAAGTTATTATTAGGACCAAAATTACGATCCCTAGGTCAATTTTGAACCTACATATCTTGGAGCACAACTAAAAAATCACCAAAGTTAATTTTCAACAAATAACATTTAGAATATTAAATCAGGTAAAATTGTCAAAGATTCCTATTAATGGTATGTACATTTAGAGACAAATGGATAAAATAAAACACAATAATTGTATTAATTTTCGCTGACAAAAAAAAAAAAAAAAAACATTTATAAAGGGTAAAACCAACAAACATTTGACTCTGGACTTCACCAAACGAACTTCAACTTAATGCGAAAATAAAACTAAATTGGTGCATAGGTAAAGGTCCTTGGTCAAATTTTTGTTAATTCAATTCTTAAACATTTACCATTTAACTAATTTATTCTTCTAGTCGGAAATCAAGGTAGGTTCCTTCCCTGCGCATCACAACCCTGAAAAGGTCTCCTAGTTCAACCGCTCTATGGTCCAACAGGTAACAACTTTTTTTTAAATGAGAACTGTCTGTAAGGAGAATAAGTAAAATTGTAAATTTATAACTTTCATTTTGAAAAGTTTACAAAAAAGGTCAAGTAGAAACAGTGATAGGTGTGACAAGGACAAAGTATCTGATTCGGTGCATAAGGCTGCATAAGAAAATGAAAATTATCTTACCTTTCGTGGAAAAGTCAATATTGCCACAAAATTGCATTTCATACCACGTGTACAATGCATTAATATGTCCCGTTTCTGTCACCAAAATATTCTGAGTTTTCTTCACATAATCCTTGTCGTCAACAGTGAAGGAAATCGGACTTGAGTATTCTTTATACACAAAATCTGAATCTAGATCGGGATGTTCTGAGCCCTGAAAAAAACAAATTAAATCATCAAATATTTAAAATAATAAAATCGCCTCTCACCGTATATTCATTCATAAACTGGGCAATCTTAAAATCAAAAACATTGCGGTCGTTTACAACATTCCATACTTCCAGCTGCTCGGAATATATTAGTAGCACTTTAACTACAACTTTAACTGGCATCATGAAAATGTCTGGTTGGTCTGGCCTTATTTTTTCTTTCAATGCTATTGTTGGATGTATCGAGCCATCAGTGCTTATCGGATCAATTAAACACGCTTTGCATTCCTTGAGGTACTTGTGGATGCCGCACATCGTTGTATTGTGGCCAATCTTATTTTCTAAAACAGAAATTTGTTTTTGTTATTATTGGTATTGTACTTGTGAAAGTTCTTACCTATAACTATCATTTTACCCTGTGGAATGTTATTTAATCTTAAAATATGATCAAAAAAGTCCATGTATTGATAGTCACTTTCCGATTTTATCGTCGTGTAAAACTGACAACCTTTTTTGGCTGCTAACATAAATCCTAGTAGTGGGAAACACATTAAATCCATGACCTAATAAGGGTAAAACATGTTAGATCCAAACTTTTAAAAAAATATTTTGTTAAGTTTACTATTATAGTTGCTTACTGGTTTATTTGGATCTGGAAATTTCTTCAGAAAATCCGGATTCATAAATTTATTCGCCAAGGTCATCATTTCTTTAACTAGAGGGACATCATTCAAAAATGAGATAATTTCTTTAGACACCAACCAGCACGATACACAAGTATTAGGCTTTGTAATCTAAAAATCGCAAACTTTTGTTAAAAAAAAAACAATGACAACAAAAACAATATGGATATGCAAAAGCAATATCCATTTAATTTAAAAAAAAAAGTGGTTTCTGGAATACAAGACCGCTTCAAGACTTTTGAATCACTTTGCATATTTAATTTTTTTGAGGTGCAATAACTTGGCACCTTGACCCTTGGTCACCAGTAATAGGATAAGGAGAATGTCAATGAAAGAGTTTCAAAAGTACAATACTACTTATGGACAATATCATTAATTGATAAGATACATTGTTAGAAGCAAAAGTCTCACTAAGATGATTGATGTCGGATTTTTCTCGGATTCTTAGTACAGTTATCATTGTGAGAGATAAATGTCATGCCATTGGAAATTCTCTTTGAATATGATTTACTAGTTAGAATTTTATTTGAATCATAGCTCATTTAGTATTGGAACCGCATAGTTCATTTTGTGTTGGGGCTCATGCACATGATTTGCCAAAGCACAGCACACCTTTCTGTCACTTATGAGCTAGACTAGAATTCTGTCCTTTAGTTTCCTGGGCCGGTATTCTGGTCCTCAAAAACGCTCACCTTTTTTTAGTCGCTCGGCACTTTAAATGCAAATTTACATTGAAAGTGCCGAACGACTGAAAAGTGGTGAGCGTTTTCGAGAACGAGAATACCGGTCCTGGTAGTTTTAGGCCAAAAATGTTCTCTCATTCTTACCTGAAAAAACCTCAATTGGCTGTCCAAAACGGTAACTTCAAATGCTATCTTTTCCCCTTTTTTGACTTCAATTGGATGGTGTAAATGACAGACTCCTTGCTCCCAGCACTTCACCCTTTCCTGGCATCTGGGGTCTGTTGTTATAGTGATCTCTTCATCTAGATCCAGTTCAAACCAAATCGCTACTGAAGTCAAAGTTGCATCTTGAAGACATTCAAACTGAAAAAGTATAATATAATCAATATTTTCATTCATGTACCAAGTGAAATTAGAAAAAAGTTACCTCAATAATTTTTGAAAACTCCATATTATTAGCCATATCGTTAAGTTCCAAAATATCATAGAAATCAATATCAAAAACCTTAAGTGGAACTGATAAATAATCAATATGTTTGGTAGATAAGTCTTCAGCTTCGTAACTGTCGGGGGTAATATGCCTTATGCACATATCTGTCAGGTTTAGTTCTGGAATTCGGTTTACAACTCTGCAACTTTGAGGGTCTCTGTAGTTTATTGCTACAAAAAAAAAATTGGTTCAACATAAACATACAAAGTTTAATCAAAATCCATATTTACCTGCTGCATATAATCTAGCCCCACATGGTACAATTTTGAAATTATTTTTTTCTGTAATCAAAACATGATGAGCATGTAATAAAGTTTCCAACATCCGCTCTCCAAATATTGCACAGTCGAAAATTTCAGTAACCAACAAATTGCAAGGTGCTGGAGCCTCTGTCAATTTTGTAGAATAACAATTTATGACTTTAACGTTGCTTTTTTGGTTTTCTTTCATGACGTTTTCACACATTTTTGCTAAAATTTTATTCTCTTCTATAGCTGTGACATTAACTTCTGGATTATCTGCTGCCATTAAAGATAACAGACCACAACCTGCTCCAATATCTATTACATTATGGAAACCTTTAAAAAAAAAATAGTATTGAAAAGTTGTTGTAGAAAAGAATTATTTACCTCTACTGGTAATGTTTTTGATAGCCTGGAAATAAGCGGAATTTCGTCCAGTATCGTTTAACATTTTGAAATGCCATCTTGGTATCTGGCGCCATTTGCAGTGCATCAAATTTTTCTCTGCTGGTAAATAATTTTTGATGCAGGCCACAGCTTTGTCCAGGTATGTTCGGGCTATATCAACTTGACCCATTCTAGAAAAAAAAGTTAAGTTGTAGCTTTGAAATTTTCTATTTTTGGGCAGGTATTGGAAAAAGAAGTTATAAGAATGGAATTTATTGGGGTTTTGGAAAAAACCAAAATATTCCACACTACACCATTTTTATGCAAACTAAAATGGCCCCTGGTAATCTTAGGAGATTGGCAAATCGCAAATGATAGAGCAATAGACTCTTCAAGTAATCCAAGTATAGTTTATACAAAGTCAATCCGAACAGCATAAAAACTGTGTAGGCGGCATCATGGTACAATGATGCTCTGAAAGAGTGTATTCCGAGGTGTATTCTTAGCAAAAAAACGACTCATAAAATATACTCCTGGACAAAATTATCGCACCACTGCTTATGATGATGCTTATGTGCATTGGTGCGATAATTTTGCCCAGGAGTATATTTAAATAATCAAACAATGTAAATGACTACAAATATTTTTGATTTACGAGCTGAATGCAAACATCTCTCTGAAGTTGCCTACCATGAACATATTATACTAAAACTGAAAATTGCATTACCCAATCTAGTGAAGATTTTTGGAAATTTGTAAAGAAAAACAATAACTCTTTTGATATCCCCAAAACCATGTTGTACAAAACTGAAACTTCTGATAATGGAAATATTACTGTAAGCTATTTTAGTGACTTTTTCTTAACTGTTTATGGTGATAATAATTGTGATACTTATAATTTTAATGTAGTTAGGTCTTTATCTATAAGTACTTGTGATTTTAATGAAATTGATGTCTGCAATGCAATTCTTAGCCTAAAAGACCATTTATCTCCTGGGCCTAATAACATGTTATATTTCTGAAAAATTGCGCATGTATTCAGACCTTTATTTTAAACATTATTTTCACTTAGTCAATGTTAAGTGGTATCTAAGTATCCAGATGTCTCGAAAAACTCAACTCATATATTTAAAAGTGACGGAAAAAGTGATGTTATAAACTACAGGACAATAAGCAAAATGTCTTTGATAGCAAAAGTTTTTGAGATAATTAGAGATTTTAAAATCAAGACTGAACTACAATCAATTTTAAATGGAAACGAACATGGCTTCATTGCTGGTAGCTCCACCGTGAGTAACTTGCTTGTTTATGAACATTTTTTAAATAGTTCTTTTCAGGGCGACAACCAGGTGGATGCCATCTACACAGACTTTTCAAAGGCTTTCGACAAGGTTAGCCACACTCTGCTTTTTGGAAAGCTTGAGGAATACAGTGTGTTTGGCAGTCTCCTGCAATGTTTTCATAGTTATCTGACCAACAGAAAACAACAGGTGGAAATAGGCAGTTTTGTTTCTAAAGAGATATTGGTCCCCTCTGGTTTCTTTAACAAAGCCTTAACAAATATGACATCGCCGATTTTGTAATTTAATTTTCTAACGAAAAATGACATAATATACCATGAGTTACATTCAAGATTCTAAAATTGACGTCACTTGACTCAAATTGGAGCAAAAATGGTGAAATTGGATAACAAAAAGTTACTAGCCATTTGCACTGACCATTTTAAGGAAGCCTTAGCGATAAGTATTCCTCAAAATGACATTTTTACATGCAGTAACGTCACTTTAAGGAATACTTATCGCTAAGGCTTCCTTAAAATGGTCTGTGCAAACGGCCACTAGATCCTCAAAATTTCAATTATATTGGATGACGTGTTCCGAAATTATCACCTGGGAAAAACGTCATGGGACACCCTGTATAACCAATAAAGCATTAAAATTGCTAGGTTTTGGTGAAAGAACTCTGCAAGACTTAAGTAGTATTGATTGTTTTAAATCTCTTTTTTGCTCTTACATAAGGTCAGTTTTGGAATCCGCTTGCCAGGTTTGGTCTCCTTACTATACGCCATATGTTCTGTTCAACAGATTGAAAAAGTGCAAAAGAGGTTTGTGTCTGTTGGGTTTAAATTGGGTATACCAAATAAGAATATTGTATATGAAGAAATACTTCACTCCCTTTGTCTAACAACTTTCAGCAATAGGAGAAAATATATTGATATAAATAAGAACCCTATTTAGAATCTCGAATGGATACAAAAACTATCCAGAATTGCTATCTTTGATAAAACTTAAGGTGCCGAAGAGAAATCTGAGAGGCGTAGACCTGTTTAAGGTTCTATTTCATAGAACGAATTAAGGTTTATCTTCATCTCTGACACGCTTTTCCTGGCGCTTTTCAGATAGTGCAAATAAATTGCTTACTGATGTAGACATCTTTAATGATTCTTTAAGTGTGTTTGGCTCAAAAATAAAATCCTATGATCGAGGCTGTGATAATATATAATAAACTAATTTTATCGAATTTCATTCTTCTAACTTGTATTTTTGTCACAACTTTAATTTTTGAATCTGTTAGTAGTGTGATGTTGAGGACTGTAACTACTGTTTTTTACTAATTTAACTGATATGTCTATATGCTATTGTCAACCCTACATAGAACCAGGGGCTACAACCAAATTCTATACACTGAACCACGGGTTAAAACAAATAACTAAAACTGAGCAAGAAAACACAACCAGACTAAATAACCTAATTATATTCAGCAAATATTGGATATAAGAGTCACAGCGCTTTTCTGTATCAGTAGTATTTAGACACATCTCAAAGTCGGAAGCAATCTGGCCGAATAGGGATTGCGTATCGTATCTCTGTCCGAGCAGATTTCATCTGACGACTCAGACTCTGTGAGTCGTGTCTCAACGATTTTCTGTATCAGTAGGCGTTTAGATACGCCTCAAAGTTGGAAGTTATCTGGCCGAATAGGGATTGCGTATCGTATCTCTGTTCGAGTAGATTTCATCTGAATACATTGATTATATGTGTCTATATTTTTTGTCCTCTTACTCTTAGTTCTCAACTTCTCTTTACTCTTTATATCTTTAATATGTTTCGTAAAGTATAGAGGATATTTCTTTGAGCCATTTTTTCTTTTTGGAACACAGATCTCAAAAATATTATATATTTTATCATAGAAATGCTTAACAGCCATATTGACATCATCAAGAGATTCCAGGTCATTCCAAGAAGCATTGTGAAACAATTGGTAGAAAGTGTCGAAATCAGCTTTCCTGAAGTTGTAATTTTGGAAGTGACTATTCCCATTCCCTGTCAAATTTTTTTGTCTAGAGGTTTTAAACTCAATTTCTATCATAAGTGGAGGATGGTGTGTATCAATGTCGACAAAACTGAAAGAACTTTCATATACCCTAAATTTACTATTAGTTACAACAACATCAAGTAAGCGGTTATTTCCATTTAGTACTGGTGGCAATCAAAAAATTCGAGAAAATTCAGAAACATATTTATCTGTTGATCTCTGAAGTTACCCACATAATAGTCGTTCAAGGGACTAATATTAAGTTCTCCCACCAATATGATTTTTTTTATGGTAAATACATTCTTGATTTTCAATGTATGAGAATAGATGCTCTCTCTCTCTAATAGACCACAACTAGTTGAAATATAAACCACTAATACATAAATAAAGTTAACATCATCTACAAAGACTTTGGCCCCTAACAAATCTATGCATGGCACATTAAAATCCAAATTCAATATACGAGTTTTGTAGGTTTTTTTGACTGCCAGTAAGACACCACCACCACGCATATTATCTTCCCTGTTTCGACATTTAAAAATGTTGAAGGACCCTGGAAACAATTCACTATCATACACACCGTTAGTCAACCATATTTTGCTCAGAGCAATTACATCATATTCATTTTCCGTTAATATCACTGAATGAAAAAAGTCCACTGTTTTAGTCCACGCACATTTTGATACGCAACAGTGAAAGCTATTTCTTCTTCAGTGACAACCGTATCATCATTAACTGCGCTCAGTTGCCCATCATCATTCACCTCTCTGCTAAAAAAATTTCTGGGGTTAAGTAATTTGTTTGTTGCTGAAATCTTCTGATTCTTTGCATATATGGTTTAACCAATTATCCAATAACAGTGATATAGATCTATTTCACGGCTCTGTTGATTCATTCAAAACTAAAATAATACCAAAAATCAAAAGTAATTTTGATTGATATATCTTTTTTTTCAATTTTTTTCATTTTTTTTTTCTCTTATTTCTTATAATATAATTTTTTTTTTGCTGATAAATTGTACCATAGTGTACCTGCGACCAATGACTATTTGCATTTGTTAAACAAAGCTTATTAATAAGGTGTTAATCAAGTATTGTATCAATTTAGTGTACTTAATTTAAGTTTGCAATAACTGTTTTTACTACTAATTTTAATTGTCTTGTAATTGGGATTTATCCTGTTAGACAATAAAGATTTATTTATTTATTTATATATACAGGACACAACGAGTTTCGGGCGGAATGATTTCCTTGGGGTAAGCATGACCTCTTACAATTAGGACAATTAAGAGCATCTGCAGAACACTGACTACTATTATGGACACCACCACATTTATGACAACAATCATTGGCCGAGCAGTGTTTGGCAACATGGCCAAATAAACAACACTCTTGAAACACATTGCTACACTTGTATACTCCTGGACATATGCAGGGCAGAAGTCGAATACCAGGTTATTTTTTCTAATGAGCCACTTAAATAAAGCCGGAGGAGTCTGAAATATCCAATTTTCTTTTGCGTTGTTTCTGCGGTCTTTTTTTGTCAAATATTTGAACTGGTCCTGTAGATTTTCACCAAAGGTGTCTAGAATATCAGAATTAACAGCAACAAATTCATTAATGAATGTTGCTGGTGTATGTCCTTTGAAAACTCCTGTTATCTTTATCATTGGATCTAAATTCAAAATATTTCTGACACATTTTTGTTAGCATTTTCAAGGGTTCCCTTCAACTTTTTCTGTTGAGACGCATCTTGACATTCTATTATGACACTTCCACTCTGTAGAGGTTTAATTCTTCTAAAATGTCCATCAACATTATTTGCTTTAAGATTTTCTTTAATTTCACACATAACGATTCTAGAATCATTATTTTCTTTAAGCCTAACAATTGTTTCATGCTTCAGGTTTCACGGCGGAGGCGGATAGTAACAATATGGTAATACTTGTGTGATTTTCTCTAAATGTTACCCCTACCCTAACATTAATTATAATATATTTATCTAGAGTTATTCTGATATTCCCTTCCCTTTCCCGTTCTGATTTTCAGGGTGAATAGTCGAGCTACATAGCGGAGCAAGAGAGGCTTCGTGACAGTATATTGTACGACTATTGTATTTTTAGTTCTTATTTTTAGTATAAGTCCAATTTCTGTAAATAGCTGGTCCGTTAGGAAAAATTTATTTATTTATTTATTTATCAAAACAAGATGTTGTTTAAATATTTATTCTTAAATTTTTTTGAACTAAAACCTTCAATGAAATGAGACTGGAAAGATCTGGACAATCATTAAACAAACCCTCTCAAGAGTTTGTAGAGTAAAAATCTGCCTGAAATCTCCTGCTTTGGAATGTTTTTTTGACGCTAGCGGAATTACGCCACCGGTCGGTCGACAGGCAACTTCGACGGAGCGCAACACGGACGTAATAATATTATAAATTGAAAAATGTCAAATTTAAGAGAAGAGCAAAGTGAGTTGTTGATTGATTTAGTGAGGCAATATCCCGTGTTGTATAATTTATGTATTTATATCTGTCTATTAAAATAAAAAATAGCGATCCCTGGGAATCCATTTCCATACACGGATTGCCGAACAGCCCACATCGGGTCACCTTCGAGGAAAGCACTACCTCCCTAGCACGATACGCCGGGAAGCGCTATGACACCGTCACGCTTGCATTCCGTCTCCGTCCCGCATCCGAGGAAAGCGAGCCTTTATGCCCCATTCCCGAATTATACCTAATACCATACCCTCAAAACAGATAAAAGTGAGGATACTTCTTAGGTTAGCTTTAGATCTGTACCTAGCCTGATGCACCCTATAATAATTATTCCAATACTGGTATTACTGTGTAGAGTATAGATCATAACAACATATTATAGAAAAACTCTGAAAGGAATCATGCATGTTACATGTATCCAATATACTTACTTGAATAAATACCCTCCTAAATTATTCAAGATGATATAATTATTAGGAAAAAAATTGATAGCTTGCAAATAAATCTTGAGCAACTCCTCGGTGTCATTCGCCTCCTCCAATACAATGCCAATTCTACAAACAAGTTTAGTGAAACCCAATTGCACTGGAGGGCTGCTGGTTAAAGGATCGTCCAAGCTATCGAAATAATTGACGAAATTCTCGTAGGCGTCCGGATAATTGTTGTTCTTGAAGCATTCTTTGGCTTTGTTTAAATAAAAGGTACTATTCATCTTGTTTGGTTTCAGAGCAATTTGGGACAGTATCTTCGGCACTCGGGAATCTGATGACCCCAACATCACTAGACACCCTTAGGTGTGGATTTCCTTACGTTTTCCCTGTGTTTTTGTTGAAGGAATTTCTTTTTTTACTACTATTACTATGGCTGATTTATATTTTTTTGAAAAATAGGTTAAAAAATATTTTTGTGGAGCTGTCAAATTTTGGAAATAAAACGTCAAATATTTTATCAGCCGTTTTCGCAGAAAACATCCATTGAATGCACCTTATGACCATTCATTCCGAACTCATTTAGAACTAGTTCAGGGTTGTGAGAGCAGAGCATGCTTGGAATCAGTTGATTTTCTTTTACCGCGAACGGAACGATTGAACGAAATAACTCGCAACTCTCCACTCGACAATGGTTTTGAGCGGATTCATTTCGCATATACAGTACAATAATGGCGTTTCCGCGTTTCCCATCTATTCTTGCCTTGCGTTCGGTATTTTGCTCAAGGAGCAGAGCATGCTGAGCGGAGCCGAAATCACGTGACAAGCGAGCGAACAGAGCAGCTTAACGCTGTATCCGAGTGCCCGAAATTGTAATAAAAGAACGCAAATGAGCCAGCACCGAGTACACTTTTTAAATAAACGAACGGTAAAATTCAAACTCGGAGAACTCAGATCAAAATACCGAACGCACGGTTGGATTGGTGAAATCTTTTATTATTTTGATGTATTGTATTCGTTTTCGGAGCTACTACAAATTGGCCTCTACCAGTTCTAAGATTTTATTTCACCGCACCGCAACCGCGAACAGTTTCGGTTTGCTCTCGATGTTTGTGTTGAAGCCCTAGAACCGATCGAACTAGTTCAGAATCGGTTTAGTTCAAGCAAGGATAATACACTACCACAGGATTGCTTATCGGCCTCGGTTTTGGAAATCTCGGCCATAATATTAGCACAGCTTATATTAGCATCATTGACGACGTCATCAATTACCACGTAAACAGCTGACGTGGCACCAGCGGTCGATGTTTAGAATATACATTTATGATAAAAAATATTATTTAATTTAGTTTAACATAATAGACAAAGAGGAAGATGCAAACGAGATCTAAAAGAATGTCGTTTTAGAATGAAACCAAGTAAACTCTGTTTTTTTTTTAAGATAATTACCCAAGTCAAAAATTTAGTAACTATGTTGGCAACACAAGCCTTTTCTGCATAAAAAATTTCGAACATTGACAATTTTACATTGTATTGCCAACATAATGTCATTTTGACTTTTATCTTTAAAAAAAAAAACAGATTTTATGCAGCAAAAGCCCGCGGAATCATAACCTGTGATTCTGTAATGCAAAGACCCTACATCAAGGCGAGTAACGACACGCTGTCTACGTCAGCACAGGTTCTTTGGCGAGATGGGAGGCTTTAGATTTGATCTACACAGGCCTTATGAGGATAAGCTAAAGCTATCCTGGAGTAGTAGTGTGTATTATCCTTGCAAACACTCTACGTCAAGGCGAAAAACGACACGCTGCCTACATCATCAGTGGTGCTTTGGCATGATGAGAGACTGGGAGATTTGAATTACACAGGTCTTATGAGGATGCTATCCTGTAATAGGAGTCATGTACCGTACGTTCAGTATTTTGATCTGAGTTCTCCGAGCTTGAATTTACCGTTCGTTTGTTTGAAAAGTGTACTCGGCGCTGGCTCATTCGAGTTCGTTTATTAAAATTTTTGGCACTTTGATACAGCGTTCAACTGCTCAGAGCCGCTTTCCAGTATGGGAGTGTGACGCCCGGAGCTACTCGGGGCGTTGAGCTCCCGAGCTGTACGTACGCGTCAACCTGTCAGCTGTCACATCCGTGGGTGACTATTTATTTATTTCTTGTTATATCCCAAGATTGAACATTTTAAACAGTGATGTGCCTGTAGTCAATGTCAACGTAAACAATTGATTGTCTACGCGTAGACAATTCGAATTGTTTACGTGAGCATTTGTCTACACATTGTCTACATGCGGCGTAAACAATAACTTATTTTAAAAAATTCGAAAAAAAATATCAAAAGTTTATACTATCACTATCACTTCGATATAAGCATTCACTGATTATAAAATAACAGGAAAACCAATAATGAAATAAAAAAAAATTAAAAAAAGGAAAATGTGAGGTTAGAATTAAACGTCATTTATATTATTTTACATTGTTGACACGTTGTCTACATTGTCTACATTGTCTACACGTAAAGTAGACAATGAAAGTCTACGTGTAGACGCACATCCCTGATTTTAAATAATATAGTTTTGATTCTCTTTCATTTATGATAAATAAAAAAACAAACGGCACAAACAAACAGATAATTATTTTTAAAATTTGACATATTTGATACTAATGGCGTTTTCCATTTGTCATCTCAGTGCAGCATTCAGTGCGCACGAGAATTTTTCTAGTGCAGTCAAAAACGCGCACCAGTGCAGTATAAATGGAAAGCAAAAATGCAGAGTCGGCTCGGATTCTGGGGTTGGTTATGTAAAATCATATGTTGGTTTGTTGTTTTTGTTTAGCACTTGCCGGTTTCTGGTTTCCTGCTCTGCATGTTTTATAGTATAGGCTGTTCATTTGTACTTGCTACCTACTCGCAAAATCAGGAAGATCTGCTAGGAGCTGCTGTTTATGAGCTTATTATATGGGACAAGTGAACGCCGATCAGCTTATGAGATCTGCTTGAAAAAAGAAAAGCAGTACAAATGAACAGCCTAATTGTAATATTAATAAGTTTAGTCTGGGCTGTCGTTCTATGGTTCTAGGGTTAACTACAGAAACTATTTAAAAAATTGATGTATTTGAAATGAATTTTAGAGTAGAGTTAATGAAGAAGAAGTCATACAAAATAAATATTTAGTTCGATGGTCCAGATAATTTATTTAATATAACAGCTTTTTCTAGTTCTTCTCCGCGGTTTCACCCGCCGTTAAATTTAGAAGAAATTGACTATCTATAAATAATTTAAAGTAGGTACTTCGCATCAGACAATATTTTTAAACAACAATAATAATATATCTAAAAACAACGTGGATAAGCTGCGGAATTCGTTCAAATAATATAATTTCGTCAGAGAATTATAGAATTCAACTTCGCTGCTGCTACATATCAAATCCAAAACTGCAACAACTTTTTCTTTGGAAATTAGCAGACATTTTTATGTACGGTACATATAAACAAAAACAAAACATACTGCACTGGCTCTCCACGAGCCTTCCTAGCTCGTGCCAAAAAATGCGCACTGAGTGCATAAATAATTGCACTGAATTTCAAATGGAAAATGAAAACTGAAACTGTGCAGTCAAATGGAATATAAAAATTGCACTCAGTGCACCTCCGTGCAACAAATGGAAAACGCCATAAGACGGGCGTCTCACGTCTTGATACTAGAACGGTACAAATCTAGTGCGTGGCGCCCCCGAGGTGCTCTAGAGCGCGCCAATATGCATACTGGAAAGCGGCTCTGTTCGCTCGCTGGTCACGTGATTACGGCTCCGCTCAGCACGCTCTGCTCTTTGAGCAAAATACCGAACGCAAGGGTAGTAGTGTGTATTATCCTTGCGTGTAAACGAGCAGCACAAATCTACGCAAAAAAAGTGGTTCGAGCTTCGAAACCGTTCAGGGTCCTTATTCTTGAAATAGGAAAGCAGCGTTCCCAGAGAACAAATGTCCCAACTTTGTTACTTATATTACCATTACCAAGGCCTGTGGACAGAGAAGCTTTCTATACCTCACACCAAGATTTTTTAATATAGTTCCAAGTGCAATAAAATCTTGTGAAAGTTTAATAAGTTTCAAGAAAAAAATGTCAGAATGGATTTTAAAAGTATGTTCTCGAGAAGCAATTGACAGTTTTGTGAATCAAAATCAAAGTAGATAATAGTGAAAAGTGAAGCACTAAAACTGCGTAGAAGTGGAGCAAAAAAAAAAACTGCCATACAAATACGTACATTTTTGTGCATATTTCGGCAGAAGACAAGAACGTTTTTTTTTTTACTTCTTTAATTAGTATTAATTGCTTACTTGTACCATCGTCACCAAAAGTAACTGGGACAGCATCGCATTAGCTCTTGTCCTATTATATAAATTTTATTGTCAAATATTTGTCAAACTATGCATTAAATGCATTGAAATGAATGACAGTAGAATTAGTCCAGGAGATCATTATGCCTTATTTGTGTCCCAGTTACTTTTGGTGACGATGGTACGTACATTTAATACATAAAAATTGTATTAAATAAACGTCTGAATTATTTTAAAAAAAATTATTATTTGCATATCATTGAGAAAGACGGAACACTCGTTCTCCTGGGAACGCTGTTCCCCTGTTTCAAGAAATAAGGACCCTGGGGCGAATTTTGAAAAGTTGGAACAGAATTAAAGGGCCGGTTTCGAAATAGCAAGTCACCGCCGGGTTAAGCAAGCATAGCATATCTCCAGGGTAAACACATACCTTGCGTTCGGTATTTTGCTCAAAGAGCGTGCTGAGCGGAGCCGTAATCACGTGACCAGCGAGCGAACAGAGCAGTTGAACGCTATATAAAAGTGTCAGAAATTTTTTATAAACGAACGCGAATGAGGCTGCACCGTGTACACTTTTCAAATAAACGAACGGTAAAGTCAAGCTCGGAGAACTCAGACCAAAATAACGAACGCACGGATAGCAACTGAACACGTTTCAAACCATGCGAGAAAAAAAAAACGAATAAACTCATAAAATCTTTATTTTTTACTTAACTATTAGAGAGTTCTCGTGCTGTCCAAATTTTAAATACCGTTACGTTATTTGACAAGTATGACAGCTCTTCAATGACATACTAAAACGTTTGGACCGGCCGTTCCTTAGAGCAGGTAAAGGTAAAGGGGAGTAGTAACCTGGATTTGGAAAATGAAGCCGTTTTTTTTTGAGGTATTTTGGCACCAAGAAAATGGCGCTTATGGCAATTCAATGCTTTACCTGTATCTTGGTGCCAAACACCTGCCAAAAATTTGGCTTCACTGTTTCATAAGCAGAATGGCGCGTTCCTACTCCTTATGTCCGTAGGACAGCGCTTTCCTGCTCTAAGGGCCGTTCCCTATAAACAAACACAGACGCGACTGCGACCAAAATAAGAAAGAGAGATCCGAGAGAGAGATGAAGCTACTAAGGTCAAACGAT